AGGCTCGAAATACAATGGATCTGAAATTGGAAACTAGAAAACTAGCGGCACTGTAAACAAACGGAAACCTTCTCCGAACCCTGAATCAAACGTAAATCCCCATACCGCTATGGAGATTTTCCGTCGCGCAATTCAAAAGCAAGCCTTTCCTCCAAATTCGGGAACACTGCGGAAAAATGACGGGTCCATTCATTCAGTATATGTACTGGAGATTGTTTGCTCCACATAAAATTATAATCAGTCAACCGTTGCTTTAGCAATATTTTTTTGCTAGTCTTTATTATTATTGAGATTAGGCCTATCGTGGATTTCCTTTCTGATGATTTCAGTCCCAATAGTGGTTACTCAGATTAAAATACATTGCATATGATAGTAAACAATGGATCCTAATACGATTTATCTTATTATACGAGTTCACATTGTTACAAATGACGTTTTTAGAAGAGATTAATTTCAAATGTTCTGATTAAATCCAGAAAAAAAGATGTGTAAATTCATACCTGTCTTTAGTTGTAAGACTTGACCTTTGGTCAATGGATACAACAAAACAAGTGAAGTATTGCCCAGTTCGTCCAGTCGGTTATAGTAATAATATATATTTTTCTTATTCGTTAGTAACGCAGGCCAATGCAGCTGGATGTGGAGGTAGCCTGACGACTCCCACTGGGGGTCCTGTGACATCACCAAACTACCCCAGTAACTATGGCAACAATGAGAACTGCGAGTGGTTAATTACTGCACCAGAAGGAAGCATCATTCGTCTCACGTTCGACAGTTTCAACACCGAGACCCGCTATGACCCCCTGACCATCTACAACGGAGCCAGTGACAGCGCTGCAGTGATACAAAGGTAATGTTTTCAACACAGAAATATCACATGAATATCAATAACATTACACTTAAACAATCATATAACTACTGTTAGTAAAAGTAATGGCCAATATCTGTCTGATATGTTTCCAATTTATCCTAGGTTAAACAAGGGTGGTGTTTAAAAAACACACCAGCGACGAGAAGTATTAATAATATGGTAGGAGGCATTGTATCGTGCTTGTGTCATGTATTTTTTGTGGCTGACAAAGGTGAATAGGTCTATGGAGGTAACCGGTTGTTTTGCTATTGTTAGTTCGCTACAGGCATTTCGATACATGGCAGAAGTCTCTAGATAGTCTAATAACATTAGAAATGATTATCGTATTCCTACATACGCGTACATATTTATAAAATGTTAAAGAATGAAATCATAACATTTTCAGCCTGGAAGGTAATGGTGATTTAAGCTCCTTGAGTTAGCGTGAAATACAATTTGCGGGAAATACAAATGCCAGCGGACTACGACACTGATCTCATCGGGCCAGGGTAGCCACACTTCTGCCATGTAGCGAAACGCCTTACCACGATGGAGCGAAACGTACTGTAGCAAACTGACAATGTAGCAAAACGACCTGTATTCTCTATGGATGTAATGCAATGATTTTTGCCTGGATTACGTTTGGAAACACCGCCAGGCTCCATAAATATTGATCCTTTCGTTTATTTGTTTGACGTCGGTGTTTACGGCTAGTCATACAGGTTTGAAATTTAAAATTAAACTAGAAAGGCCAATATTTGCTTTGGAGCAAATATAGCGATGGGTTCACCACATTTTACGACATGGCAGGGAAAGAATGAGAAACACAAGGGAAAACAATGATTTACATTGATATAAATATAATATGAAGTAACATACAACTAAAACAACAGTTGGATAGCTATTCCCTACTTTATTGGTTAGGATTTTTAATTGCATAATGCAAACTGTTGATTTAAAAAAAAAAAAAACGTCCATGCCCCGCATTCCAATGCTGGAGCAGAAAAGCTTGAAATACCTACCAAAACACTTGAATAAAGACATACTGTCAGTATGGAAATGCTCTGTGCAGGTGTTAATCAAGTTAAATCCCAACAGCCAATCAGCAAGAAATGCTCTGTGCAGGTGGAAATGCCCTGTGCAGGTGTTAATCAAGTTAAATCCCAACAGCCAATCAGCAAGAAGTATAGAGGAAAGCTGCATGCCTATTGGTTGATGCCCTGCATTCCATTGTGATGACTCATGCCCAAACTGGTAAACAAGGCACACTAACACAGTAATGCATTTGCTATAACACAGCCAAAAAACTCAAATAAAACCATTCTAAAAGCCTGTATCACAATAATTTAAAAAACGCCTAGGGGCATTTGCCCACTGTACCTCCATACCAAATTTCAGGACCTTGGGCCCTAAAATGAAGAAGCTGAATCCATTTAAAAAATGGCAGGAGAAGGAGGAGAAGGAGGAGAAAGAGGAGAAGAAACATCAGAAAAAGCAATATGGGTTCACCACCACTTCGTGGTGTGGTGAACCCATAATTAAATCGATTAAAAATAAAACGTGCATACAATTCTACTCGTCTGAAAAAAATTGCATGACTTGAAAAATAAAACATGCATTCTGAAACATGCACAGTATATTGCAAGACAAGGACATATTAAATTTTATTCACAATCCGGCGCCGTTGCAGGCAGTCGTGTGTTCCAAAGCAGGAACGCTACCGAACGCGTTAAATGATTTCGCAGCAAGAACAAATTAACATTCCTTACCTGATTCAACCTTCCTTACCTGACTATATTGAATAAAGATTGTACATTGCATACATGATAAAC